CAAAAAAGGTCAATAAACATTTATTGCATTCTATTTTCGGCAGTTTTTTAATTTTCTTTTTAAATTATTCCCAAAAAATCGATCAACTATATATGCACCCTAAATTCATGATTTTAGTGGATTTAATTTAAGTAGATTTCGAATGATTCTTACAATTTTGTAAAATTCAAAATTGTTTCTCATTTTTTACTAAAAAAATTGATTATCATAAAATCGAGAATTTCGAATTAGGCAAAATTCTATCATCCTGTTGCACTATATCGAGATATGTGTTGCAATTAGGAAAAAAAGGGAAGAATCCGACGAGATAGATTCTATTCTGAATTTAAAAGAAATGGCCAAGCTATTCATTGAAAATGAAGAAAATCCAAAAAACGAAGTGAAGGAAAGTTCTGATCAATTCTACTTTTTCCAGCTATATGAGATGAGAAAAAAAGTTGAATTGGTTGATCCCTCGGCCTTGTCGCCAGCCTCTCACCATTGGCTACCCAAACATCAAAGGGCTCAATCTTCCCGACGGAATGGTTCTGTAATAGGGAGGTTCTTGAGGCTGCAAATATTAGCTTGCAGCATTAGCATTTTTGCATGTCATTTTGGGAATTGCACAGTATCAATATGTATGATGCAGACGAAGAAGTTCGATCATGCAAGGCAATATTTGGACTTATTAAATTAATTGATAATAACTACGAATTTAGAATAATTACCATTTTTATTTATATTTAATATAATTAGAAAAAAATCTACGAGATTCTTCGGTTCGGGCCGAAGAAGGAATGGAACTCCATCATTCTCAAATGGACTGCGATGTTTTTCTATCGGTAAAGATGCGTCCAGAGCGCGTGCTACTTCGAACAGGCCATGAACTAGATCCGATCGTTCCCTCGTTCAACAGCTAGTTTGGAAGAGTTCTTCTTATTAGGGATTCTGTTCTGCTCAACGACGAATTAGAACCGGGGACTAGTTTCTTTACGATGTAAACATCATCGTATTAGGGGAGTAAGTGTAGGCTCGACCATAGGGAGAGGAGAGGCTAAAAATCTATCAGATTTAAGAAGTCGAAGTTATTTATTTAATTGATTTCTTATATAGCTAGAACGTCTGGCCTCTCCCATTAGTACTATAAGGTGAGGAGTAAGGTGTCTATGCCAGTACCCACATTCCGGGTATCTCATATCGATTGGAGTTTTAAAGAAGTCAAGTAGGCTGGATTCGTAGCAGCTATGTGGCATAGTCCATCTTTTCCTTATCTTTTTCCCTCCAAATAGATACTTGCCTTTGTACTGATTTGAATATAGGTAGGAAGATCTTAAGATCAGCAACTCGGCGGATAGGGATTCATGACGATTCGTTCTTTTTCGTTCGTTCGCTATGGCAGTTTCTCGTCTTAGTCACCAAAAAACCTTATATACAATATGAATTCTCTCAAGTCATATGTATTTAGTTATGACAACGGTGTTCAGCTCTTTCCTTTTATTTTAATGGGCTTCGGCGCACAGCCCAACAGATGCTCCAAAAACACCCTACCCATTTGGGCGAGGTCAATTACATTGAACCATGTTCGTTTATTAATTTCGTTCCAACATTTGATCCTTAATAGACCTAAGAGGTAATCAGCTGGTTCATTGATGGGGGTGTTGGTGTTATATACTTAAGCTTTGCTTTAGTGGATATTACACTTGTTATTCCTTGATGAATGGGAATTATGTTTGGTTAAATCAGTTCCACGTTATGTTGTTTTGCATGTAGATAAGTGGGTCGTCATCGGGCGTACCGAAGATCACTATATCAGTTACTTGCGAAACAAGAATCGTTGGTTCACAACCTAGATGGAATTGAACAACCTATCGGAACGGTTGTAGTGTCAACCGTACGGTTTGTCTTGACCGATTAGTTGCACTAGTACATTTATGTATTGAACAGGATCCCAGAGAGGGATGTTCGTTTTATACTAATCGTCGTAAATGAACTAGGCCTCAGTTAATTATTGCGTGCTCTTAACCCGTAAGATATTAAATAGGCATGTCCACATAATTGTTGTTGTTTTGATTCTTTGGGTGAGATCCAAGCCGGGTCAACATACTTAATTAATTGGGTAATGACATTATGTGTTCGATGTGCTATTAGGATATTT